TCCCTTAATAGATATTTCCTAAAGTTCAATTTTTTATTTAGAAAATTGACAAATTTAATAGATTAAGAAAAATAATTTTTTGCAACATGCTACTCTAGAAATTGATTTTTTCGTTCCTTTTTTGCTTCATGTGTGAGTATTGTATATGTATGTAAGTGGTAATCCAAATGTGGATTATTACCTTTTTTGTATTGACATGCATAGACATATATATATACAAAAGTATGTATGTATGTGCTATGTATATTCCTCCAGTTTTGTTTGTTTATGTTATATCGAAGGAGTGAAACTCCAATGATACCACCCAAAGTATATTAATAAAGTAGCGACATCTCTTGTTGTACAACAACATCTACAACAACAACATGTATTTTGTTTTTGGAATAATTTAAGATTGTGTCAAAATAAAATTTCCTTGAACAACAATGTGAACAAAACATAAATAAAAAATATTACTTTTAAGTTAAAGATATTAACGATTTAATTATATTGTTATATATTATACAATTTATTACACTTTTAAACTACTTTAAAACCATTTTTAATTCACTTTTTCAACTTTTCACAAATTTTAACAAATAGCAAAACACAATTTAAAAATGGCGACGTAAACAATGTTAACAATTTTCAAAACAAACTTTGACAATTTGCTTCATTTATCTAGTTTAAAAAAAATAGTCAGCTGTTCAAGTGATACTACTTTATTAATTTACTTTGATACCACCTTTAAGTATTTTCCTTTTTGACTATTAGTTTAGTAAGTCTGTCGATATACTAAATTTTATTATGCATAAACATGTGTGTTTGTCTGTATATGTAATATTTTTATATATTCAGCGGGAAAACTGTAAGAAATCTCATTGTTTTGTTGTGCTAACGAAATATCTATAATATTAATATTAGTTTACAGATAAATATGTCTTTGGAGTAAATGTATACAATATACAATTTCCTTATTTGCAATAAAATATTTATAAGTTTTTAAATGCACATTTTCATACTACAATACATGGAAATTTGACAAAAATTAATTATATTATTTAATTAAGTATATTAAATAAATTTTTAAAAATTCATTTATAAATAAATATTTCCTGACAGTTTTATTTAAATTTAATTATGAATACGTATACTGTTCGTTTAGCTTAGGGGTTCAATTTTTTTCTCGCGTATAAAAATGTTTAATAAAATAAATTATTTATTTAAAATGTTTTGCATGTTTAACGTTTGTGCTATTCAACACACTTATATTAATATGAACATTTGAGTAATATTTGGAATAGTGCTTTTAAAGTCAATTGTGAATTAAGCTCTACCGAATTTAAAAAAATATTAATATTTAAGAACAAATAATTGTTGTCCAATTTTTATAACTATAAAATGCTTTTCTATAAGAGGGACCGATCATTATTTAATTTGAAAAGAGATTTCGGTTCGTTCCTAAGTGTACATACATATATTATTTATGTATTAAGGGATTATTTCGCATATATTTTCGTATCTTCTTCGATACAAAAAAAAAAATAATAATATTATTCGTCGATTAGAGTGTATTTGTGTAAAGCCAAGTTTGTTTATAGATGTAATGAAAAAATGACCTCAATTTTTAATCTTATGAAATATTACATATTTTATCGTAACAGGAAGTTTGCAAGTAGCATGTATGTGAACATTTAAATATGTATTGTACCGGAAATACTGCTCGAGGAACATTCATATATACATAAATATTTACAAATCTGCAGAATTTTAGACTTCCGCACATGTTGGCAATAACACCAAGTTTAGTAATGTTAGAAATGTAACGACTTTACATGTGTTTATTGCAAAAAAAAACTACACATATTAATATATTTTTGTCAATAGAAATCTATACCCAGCAGTTCGACAAGGAGTCAATGCATACGTAAAAGACAGTCATTTACACTAATGTGTAACCATATGGTTGAACCTAATTTCTATATATTGGGTTATTCGTCACCAACGCACTCTTCGTAAACGAGAGTGAAGACAGTTGTCACTTTACTGTACCCTAGGTAAACGAGTGAGGGGACACTTAAAAATAGTTTTTTTCCATTGTACTTCAGAATGTAGATATTTTACAAATCAATTGGAGACACAATTGTTATTTTCCACTAAAGTCTAACCAGCTGGTTGTACCCTATTTGAATGTTTTTGGTCATGTACTCTTCGTAATCGAGAGCGAAGACAGTTACCACTTTACTGTACACCAAGTAAGCAAGAGAGTGTCAGTCGTCACTAAACTGTCCCCCGATTAAATGAGAGGGGACAGTTGAAAAAACTTAAGAATTGATGGTGAAGAGAAAAAGGATAAACATGATCAGTTTTGTCTGAGTGCAAAGACAATGAACAGTTATACTATTTCATCACTTTTTAAGTTATTTGATTTTTATGTTAGTTGACTTTAAGAAGTTGTTTAAGGCAGTTCTCGTTTTGAATTTTAAAATAAGGAAATGTTTTTAAGTAAATTAAAATATAGTAAAAGTATTGAAATTTAAATAAGAAATATTTACAATTTGGAAAAGTAAATTTATTAAAGGTGAATTAAAACAAACATTTTTAGCAGAGATTGCGGAAAAAAACTAATCTTTCCTTGATATAACAAATTCTATTCTTTCAGAGTCATTTATGTGTATTAATGAATTCCAAAGTTTAAAATTCCGATTTTACTGAAGATACAAATGAGCAGCAATGTTTACAATATTTATTTCAATATCTATTTAATATACAAATAAAAGTATTTTGTTAAGTGTTTTTTTATTTGCCATAAGTTTTTAGAGTTGTACTTCGACGGACCGGTTATTTAACCCTACCGCAATACCTGTCCATTGGACAAGCTACTTGGGGACAATTGACTTTCCCCTAGGACACGTCAATAGCTAGTAAAGTAAATAGTAAAAGAGCTAGTAATGTGACAGACTCCCAAGAAACCATTTGTAGATTACCATCCATTGACTACTTTTGACTACCTCTTGACAGTCTCATTGTGGACTGTAGAGTGACGATTGACTTCCTCGTAGGACAAGCCCATGTTAAAATGGTTGGTCACCTGGGCAGTCGGGTGGCTAAGTGCCACCATAAGTGGTATTTCAAGTGGTAAGTTCGGGACTGTCCCGTCGAACTGCTGGGTATCCATACATACATATACATATATAAAATGAATATGTGTTTTTTTGTATGTATGTCTGAAAGGAATTATAGGCTTCTTTTTATTTTAAAGTTTCAAGCCGCATATCTCAGAAACTGCTGCAGCTAGTTAATATTTTACGGACAACTTTGACATTAATATGAACATTTGTGGATAAAATAGGTGAACTTTCTATAGGCCATGATACCTCCCATGTAAAAAAATATTAAATTAGTATATCTGATAAAATATACCAGTTAGAGTTCTCAAACTATAATATATTTAAAAGATAGATGGATGCGAAGAGCTAGATCGTCTTAGAATATAATCCAAAAAAGGCCAATGTTTCTTTGTGTTACAAACGGAATCACTAAATCATATATTTTTGAAGAATTTACAGACTGTTAGATGGCTTTAGCGTTAAAAGTTTCATTATTATTGTATTGCTTTTGCTTATATTCATAATTAACATATAAATAATACTTATACAGTGCTACTTATAAAACATCTTAAAACATTACTTTTTGCGATTCTGATCATGAAGATAACGTTTTTTTAACTTTATATGTTTACAATTTCTGTTCATTGTGATAAGAGCAACAACATTCCCTCAGAGAGTGAATCCAAATTCCGAACGGTTTGTAAGATATGAGCCTGAGAAAATGATCACTTTTTTCAAAAATGACACCGAGGCCCCAAATCTTTGAGGGCCTATAACTAAAAAAGTGCATGACTTTGGGCAAAACTGGAAGACACGGGTCTTCTTATTTTTGGTATTTTATCATATAGCGGTGTCTGTATATGGTTATTCATCCATGACTTAAAAAATTACACACAGTATTATAAGAGAATCAAAAACATGTATAAACATGATTTTAACTTTTAAAATCTATTACTAATCTTACTAGCTAACAAAATCTTAAGCTAAAACACATTGCTGTTGGACTTAAAACAAAAACTTACACTATAAAACATAAATTAATTTAAAATTAAAAAGTGTGATTTTTCTTGCGTTTGAATGGCATTAAGGACAATGGCACTGAAAAAAAAAAGAAAAAAATAGAGAAAAACTAAATTAAAATACATTTATTTCTTAGTAATTCAAGAAATTGTGAACAAACTTTTAGAGTAATAAAAAGAAAAAGCCGTTGGCTAATTTTCAATGAGTTGCATTTCAACATAAAATACACTGTAGCCTTTTTTATGGACAATTCTATAAAAATTTTGTTAATCCGTGGAAATAGAGTAGTAATTCAGGTCTGAGATGAAGAACAACTCACGAGTTTTCGTGATTATTTTTTGGAGGCGGTCAGCCCAATAACTTTCATTTGATTTGCGACAGTTTTATGCCTCACTCGCTCTGGTGTAATGTATTACATAACATAGATTAGAATCATAATATAGGAAAACAGTTGATCCAATATTGCACTAAAACAATCACTTAATATATGCATGAATCTTGAAAGGTGGAAAATGTTGAAGTAACAGAATCGGTTGCAGCAGTTAGTTTTAAAAACAATTAAATTAAATTAGGAATTTAATTCAATATTTTCTTCTTTTGTATAATATTTGAGTTAATACAATTGATTTTCTACGTAAACCGTGAGTTAGATGTTGTAAAATATAACTAAATTCTAGAGTCACTTCATTTTAAATGGCACTTAATTATAATAAAATGATATTACTTGTTTGCTGCACGGGATGAAAAGACATTTTGGCGGGTATATAAAGCAGAAAGCATTTAGGCAATTTCTTACTTAAAACAACAACATCTTTTGCAGGAAATTACATTCTTTGGTACATATAAAATCTCTTTTGTATTTGCACTTAGATATTTTAATTTTCTTTTCAGCATTAATTCAGCTCTTACTAAAAAATTAAAAGCAAGAAGAAGAAAACTACTAATTTCTGCATTAGTTAGTTGAAGACTAGAAAATAAATTCAAATACTGGCATTTCATTCAGTGAGTGTATCTTGTAGATGTCAAAAGTTACGTGGTGCTATGAATGAATGAACGAATGTATTTTGCTTTAGCAGTTTGTGGTAAGTTGGATATAAATATATATGTAAATATATGTATGTATTTATGTAAGTGTTTTTACGAATTGATGCTTGTGAATGTATGTGGTAATATCCTTTGAGGTCTTTCACATAGATACTTTAACACGTTTCCCTAAAGTATAACAGTTAATAGTTGGTGTATCTTTTTTCTCCTTAGTGTGCGAAGGAATGAATCTGTGTTCATGCACACTTATACATACATAGTTTGAAGTGTTGAAACATTCAAAATGTTTAAATTTCATTTGTTTTTGCACGTTCCAATGGAGATATCTGTGGTCCTGAATTGTAATACACTTTACACTTTATGCGCGATAATTTTTTCTAAATGTGTGCAATAGCACAGAAGAAAGTTCAGTTTTCAGTTTCATTTTGCGCTCAAATGAAAAATTTAATTCAAAATGTACAAAACTATAATGTAAATAAATAAAAATAACCGACATAACCAATGACTATTGCATAAAAATGTAAATAAAATAAAAATAAATTCTAAAACTAAAAGAAAAAGCAAAGCAAAATTATTTCTATTCATATCAAAATAACAAACTTTCTCTTAGATGAAGGAAAAGTAATAAAATAACTTTTGCTCTTAAATATAAATTTAAAAATGAAAAAATGAATTAAGTAAATAGCTAGTTTTAAAAAAATACATCAATTTAATGACATCTGGGAGAATAAAACCAAAAAAAGCCAGAGCGCTATATTTGTTTATGATAAATCTTAAATACCCTACAACTGTAAGCTACTTTTTATATACACACAGATACATATTTAATAAATTAATATCATTTAGAGATCATTTAGTAATTTCCTTAAACAGGTCCATTACAAATGTTTGTATATATGCAAATCATATTCCTTTTACTCCGATATCCTAACATATTACAAATTTTGTAAGCCAAACTGCTTAGGATAATAATGAATATTTTCCGAAAATTTGTATGATTTCTTTTGCCTTTTTTGAAGGGATCATGTTTTAGACAGACAGAGAGACAGACGGACATAGCTAAATCGACTCAGAGTTTGATGATAGAATATATAAACATTGTTGGGTCGCTGATGAATATTTCTAGATGTTACACACGGAATGACAATCTTATATATACCCTCTATCACCACTGATGGTGGTGGAGGGCATAAAACCGAAGTATGTATGTAAATACTTCTAAAAGACTTAAGTTGATCACAACTTCAACAGTAGCAATAAGGACATAAAATGTATTTTTTATGCTGATGTTTGCAACGCCCAAAAATATTGGTGCAACACCAACCTTAAAGTTTTAAATATTTTCAAATTCTGTATTAAATAACACTGTGTGTAATTTTTTAAGTCAATGATGAATATACGGACTCCACTATATGATAAAAGACCAAAAGTAATAAGACCCGTGTCTTCCAGTTTTGCCCGAAGTCATGCACTTTTTTAACTTTAGGCCCCCAAAGATTTGGGGCCTCGGTGTCATTTTTGAATAACGTGATCATTTTCTCAGGCTCATATCTTGCAAACCGTTCGGAATTTTGATTTACTCTCTGAGGGAATGTAGTTGCTCTTATCACAAAGAACAAAAATTGGAACATATGAAGTCAAAAAAACGTTATCTTCAGGATCAGAATTTATGCGTTTTTAGCAATTTAATAAAAATAAAATAAAAATTATTAATTTTTTGCATTTAAACCTTATTGAAATCTGTCATTAAATACTCGAAAAAATCAGAAACCGCAAAAATCCGCAAAACGTTAAAAAAGTAAATTATATGAATTTTTGGACATTTGTGTTCTTGTAGGTCTTTCAACAGGAATTATTACTACATTTCAAATATGTTTATACTCTCCACCACCATCAGTGGTCATTCCGTGTGTAACACTAAGAGATATTCATCTGGCACCCAAAAAAAGTATATATATTATTGATCCTTATGAAATTCTGAGTCGATTTAGATATGTCCGTCTGTCTGTGTAAAACACGCTCACGTTAAAACGAAGCAATAGAAATTCTTGAAACTCACCCAAAACATTCTTTATTATCTGGTACAGTTTGGACTACCTCGAAAAAATAACGTTTCTTTCCCAATTTTTAAGTAGTTTTCTCAGAAACTACCAAAGATATTTCGATGAATTTTGCCACACATTATTTTTTTGTGCCATGGATCAAGTATGTTCAAACTCATAACATTTGATCCCGTAGCCCCCATACAAAGGTGTATATTCCCGGAAATTAGTTTATCGTTAATAACTCCCTCAAATATATCGGTATCAACACAAAATTTTGTACGTACAAATATAATATGAATAGAAATCATACTACCAACGTAGTATAATTTTGGTCGGTCCACAATTGGTTATAGCTCCCATACAAGGTCCACCTCCAAAATTCACCTAAACGCACACATTTCATTGATAAATAAAGCTTTTGTGATAAAATTCGTGCTGAATATGTTTTGTGTATATACAAATCATTCTATTAAATATAATATGAATAGAAATCATACTACCAACGTAGTATAAATTCGGATCGGTCCATTATTAGTCGTAGCTCCCATATAAGGCCCACTTCCGAAAATCACTTAAAAGCACATATTACATAGTCAAATAAAGGTATCTTTATAAAATTCGACACAAATATGTTGCGTCTATATATGAATTACTCTACGAATTTTATTTCGGATAGGACCATAATTGGTCATAGCTTCCACTTTCGAAAATCACTTAAACGCATAAGTTTAACTGATAAATAAAGCTATCGGTATAAAACTCAACATGAATATGTTTTGTGTATATATAAATCATTCTACCAATTTTTTCCCGGATCGGGCTATTATTAGTTATAGCTCCCATATAAGGCCCTCTTCCGAAAATCAATTAAACTCACATATTTCCTTGTCTAATAAAGCTATCTTGATAAAATTTGACACAAAAATGTTTTGTGTACATACATATGAATCACTCTACGAAATTTTTCTGGAGAGGCCCGTAATTGGTCATAGCTCCTATTTAAAGTCCACTTTAGAAAATCACTTTAACGCACATATTTTATTAATTAATAAATCTATTGGAGTAATATTCGACTTGAATTTCTTTTTTTGCATATAAATCATCGAATAATCTAATGAATTTTCTTCAGGTGTCAACCCTAATAAATATGTATATAAAACAAGTTAGAGTGCTGTATTCGGCTGAGCCGAAACTTAAATACCCTCCACCAGCTACTTTTATATTAATACTTTTCTAATTGATCAAATATTTGTAGAAATAAGTTCTCTCATGTCTTAAATAGAAAAATCCAAAGATTTATACAGCTTAAATCTATTACAATTCCAAGATTTATTGTACATTACAAACGCCATTGTCTTTTATATTTTTATAGCGCCCTAAGATATGCTTTAGCGATATTTAGTATTTGCATGTATGCATGTGAAATATGACCAAATATAGACCGATCGTAAAAAATTCTTTAAGCTAAATTTCTGTACATAAAAGCTATATTTCTGTCAAATTTTGTATCTATATCGTAATTTAGTAATAAGTAATGTGTGTTTTAGTGATTTTCTGAGGGGAATCTTGTATGAGACCGACCGCACCCATGTTATGAACCTATCGTAAAAAAATCTTGAAATATGATTTTTGTATACAAAACTATTATTTGTGCCAAATTTTGTATCAATAGCTTTATTTGGTAATGAGTAATGTGCGTTTAAGAGATTTTCTTAAAAGGACCTTGTATGGGAGCTATGACCAATTATGTATATAAAGACAAACATTGTATAGCAGCTATGATGAATTATGGACCGATAGGAAAACAATTTCACAGTAATATTTCTCTGTATATGAGCAATACTTCTGCCAAACTTTACATGGATATCTTAATTTAGTAATGAGTTATGTGCGTTTAAGTGATTTTCGGGAGGGGACCTTGTATGGGAGCTATGACCAATTATGGACCGATCGGAAATAAATTTCACAGTAATATTTTTGTGTATATGAGCAATACTTGTACCAAATGTTATATGGATATCTTAATTTAGTAATGAGTTATGTGCGTTTAAGTGATTTTCGGGAGGGGACCTTGTATAGGAGCTATGACCAGTTATGGGCCGATCGGAAAAAAATTTCTCAGTAATATTTCTGTGCATATAAGCAATACTTGTACCAAATTTTATATGGATACCTTAATTAAGTAATGTGTTATGCGCTTTTAAGTGATTTCCGGGAGGGGACCTTGTATGGGAGCTATGACCAATTTTGGACCGATCGGAAAAAACTTTCACAGTAATATTTCTATAGATATGAGTAATACTTGTACCAAATTTTATATGGATATCTTAATTTAGTAATGAGTTATGCGCGTTTAAGTGAATTTCGGGAGGGGACCTTGTATGGGAGCTATGACCACTTTTAGACCGATCGGAAAAAACTTTCACAGTAATATTTCTATACATATAGGCAATACTTATACAAAATTTTATATGGATATCTTAATTTAGTAATGAGTTATGCGCGTTTAAGTGATTTTCGGGAGGGGACCTTGTATGGGAGCTATGACCAATTTTGGACCGATCGCAAAAAAACTTTCACAGTAATATTCCTATACATATAGGCAATACTTATACAAAATTTTATATGGATATCTTAATTTAGTAATGAGTTATGCGCGTTTAAGTGATTTTCGGGAGGGGACCTTGTATGGGAGCAATGTCCAATTATGGACCGATCCATAAAATTTTTTCTCCGAAAGAATTCTATTGACATAATTTGTAAATATTTAATTAATTAATTTGTAAAATTTTCTAAAGATAGCTTCATTGTGACGGAAGTTATTAACAAAAAACCCATTATCCGGGAATATGTACTTTTGTATGGGAGGTATATGCAATTGTGGACCGATTCTGGCAATTTTCTGCTGGTATCAAGCTCTTGTGTAGAAACGAATGTATGGTGATTTTCACGGAATTATCTTGCATAGTTTTCGAGAAAATTACATCAGAATG